ATTTGATTGATTATGGTAAATGGGATTACAGCCAAATACCATATTATCGTTCTTAAGTATTAGTTAATTAGTATAATTAGTATTAATTCTTTTGTTATAATTAATGACATCTATTTAAAGAGATTTTTAAATTATTTGTTTTTATTATTTTAATTCCTTGAGAGTAAATAACAAAACTTTTGATTCTCAACGATCTCTATATTTATTTTCATTATATTATATGTTTTAATATAAAAATAGTAGATAAGTGTCAGCAAATGAATAAAAATACTTTTTATTGCCATCAAAATAGCTTTTCTTCAAAGAAAAATTGTTTTAATGACACAATTATTGATTTACTTTTAAATAAAATATTTAATTTATAATAAAACATAAAATACTTCTTATATTATATACCTTATGAGAATTATATAAAATATTTCTTTCATAATACAAAAACTTGTCTACAAAAATAATTGACTTTTATTTTAGTATAATTTAATTTAAAAATCCATTTAGAATTTTAGGAAATTTATTGAATTAAACGTTAATTTATGTTTTATATAACATTTACCTTATATTTTTTCGTATATATAAATTTTTGATTATATCCCTTTAAAAATTAATTCAATCAAATCCAAAACAAAGAAATCTACCATGTTAACAACCAATAAAATGATATTATTGATTAAATATTAGATTCTGGGATGCGGTCCAAGAGCTTAAATGTGTTCACAGTCGGGATGTATCACATAAGGTGCAGGAGATATGGAATGAATACCTCGGATCAGGTACAGTATTTATTGAATTGTAAAAAGCGCAAATAACCATCATGTTAATTGATCATAATTCTAATAAAACACGACCACATATAACATGATTATAGACGCAAACTGTCCCATAAATATCGACTCGAAGTCGTTTGAGATATCGAAGAAGAATATGGACAGCAATCCGAACAACCGGTGGATCTTTGATGAGGCGGCGGGACATGTGTACCAACTAATGAAGAACGACTCATACCCGCGGTATCTGCGGTCGGATATGTATAAGGAGTACTTAAACGGTACCAAAAAGAAGGTGAGACCACAACCAACACATTGTGTGTTAACTAAACCATGGCTTAAGGCTTGATTCCTTGTCCTCATATCGCACATAGACTTCTGTGAAAGGCATTCGTGGAGTCATTACATTTAGTGCGAAGAAAGTTGGAGACCAATTGGCTTTGGCTGCCGCTAATACTACTACTTCCCTTACTTAATAAGATTTCTAAACCAAACAAAAAGCTCACTTATAATTGCTCTTAACAATTACAAACCAAATACCAAATACAAAACCAATACTAATAATACAATAATTAAAATTCATGAAACATTTATTGAATTCCGATTTGAAACTAATAATTGAAAGAAAAAACAAAAAATCTTTTTAGAAATCACTTGTAGTGTTCACTTATTTTGACCGCTTTTTGAACTCCTAATTGAATGATTTGCTGCTTTCAGTTTAAAAACACACCATTTAATAGACATTTTAAACAAAAGGTGCGCTTTTATTATATCAAACATATAACTTATTTTGTCTGCTTTTTACTAATATTTTACTATAATTTATATATTTTATATTTATATTCAATTCTAATCTCCATTTCCTTTCTTATCTCAAATTCTAACCTCTCTTTTAAATCTGAAACTAAACTTTTTTTAAACTAAATTATTTTTATTTAATTATAGTATTATATGAATGGTTTTGAAAACTGATTGATATTAACTGATTGTTTGTCTCTTTCCTCTCTATGTCTAACCCATGGATGTATAGCACAGCCGATTCATCCCAAAACTTCCCAGTTTTAATGTCTGATCAAATGATTCAATCATTGATTACAAGCTGTGATTACAATACTATTCGACATTTCTATTCATCATTAATGGGAACATCAGATTTCGAGAATATATAAGACTATATGATATATAAATAAATATAAATATATTATTATTATTAATATTATGAAAATATATTGTATTGAAAGACCAATTATAGGCAAATTTCAAATGATTTGCTGATTCCATGTTAATTAGAGTTATAATAATTATATATAAAAGGTGTTAAATATATTTACTTAATGTTTATCACATTATTATTATATTATAATTCATTGAATTTCACTGTTTTCTTATATTCTTAATATGATTTTAAGTAATGTTTAGACAAATTATATAAATATTATTAAATTATTTGCTGATAAAATAATATTGAAAACAAATATTTTAGAAAACTTTGTTATAAGTTATGAAAACATTTTATTATATAAAATTTAAATGTAGACTTTGATTAGTAAAAACAAAAATTAGTCTACTATTTATCACATCGAAATCATAATTGATTTGAAAAACTATAAGAATTGCATAATTAATAAATTTATATAAATTGCAATACCGTTTCAATCAATTTATTACTGAATCAATGAATAATTAAAATTCTCATCAAAACGAGTATAACATTCAAAATGAAATACAAATTCTGCGAAGAATGGCTCTTATAATGGAGTGGTGTATATGTGTTGGCCTTCAATGCCATCAATGCATTCACTTTTTGAATAGATTAATGAATTCAATGATAGACTCCACACATCTGCTAATGAATCCTAATGTAAGGCCCGGTTTGAGCTGTTTTTGGCATCGATTTTCCGACACCAATAATCAGTTACTATTTATCAAAACCATTATCTTATGTTATTGTTAGGCATTTAAATCGGAATTTAATCAACAAATACTGAATGTAAAGTATACATATGTGTATGATTTACACACAATACCGTATGTATTGTATATACAAAATATATTCTGTGTATATATTTTTCACACACTTTTAGCTTTGCATCAAATATTATTATGCCATGAGTTTAGGGATTAGTTGCGCAAAACAATCTCTCATCTCTATAATGTAAATACAAAAAAAGTTTTAAAAATATTTAGATTAAAAATTCTCACCGAATAACAAATTGCTGTAAAAAGTGTGTTTAAAATGTAATGGATTTTATTTAATTTAAATTCTACTGCATTTTTAATTACTTAAAGTCTATTAACACAATAAAACAATCCATTGATTTATTAGAAGGCATTAAACACAAAGATTTCCTCACATCTTATAACTGTATAAATAAATCACTTGATGTCTAAATTTAAAGCACTTTCGTTGAGAACAATGGATAAGAAATATGTTTACGAAAGCATTTTTTCCTCTCACTCTATCTTCAATTGATTTAACGATTGCAGCGATTTTAAGGCATTCATTGAATCGTATCAATGAATAAAAATGTTAGTTTTAAAAATAAAAAATATAAATAAAGTAACAGTGAATTTGTAGACACCAGACGTTGTTTTAAAAGATTAAATAATACTTAAAATAATTTGACACATAATTCCTGGAAAAGACAAACGAGTCAATTGACAAAAATTAGGACTCTATTTAATTAAAGGCCCAATATTTTTGACAAGTGATCAGATTTGG